TTAATGTAAAGACCATTTGTCATTTTGGTTGTAAGAAACACTAATGGCTTTACCAGCCTTTTGCATTTTCTACAAATTAAGCTTGCTTGTGAAGGTACCTGTTAAACGCACAGCACCGAAACACAAAAAGCCTCCTCCAAGTGGCAAAGACTAATTGCTGCTAATTGTCAAGTGTGTTTATTGCATGGGAGAATTGATAAACTGTAATAAGATGTGATGGATTTAGCCAGCTGTGTTTCTACAATTTCAGGCTGGTATATGTCCAACAGAAACCAAGCAAATTACACAAGTACAAAAAAAAATATATAGCACAATAGTGTTGATTCAGCACTGGTGTATTTTCTCCTCCTGATTATTTTTGCAATAACAAGTGTCTGATAAGTGGGTTAAAGAGTGACTGAGGGATATGGACTTGGAAAAGAATTATCACGCTGTTTGTTAATATTCCTCCAGTTAATTGGAAATGTAGGCAAGTCATGGAATAATTTAGACTGGCAATATGTTTCATGAGAGTTTCCTTCTCAAGCTGAAAAAAAAAAAAGAGAACACACTGTCTGTATTAGTAATGTATTTAGATAAGTAAATGGAGTCAGATCTAATACTGCCTCTATGAAAAATAAACGGAGACAGAATCCACAGTGGAAAATGTGTTTGCTTCTGACAGGCATTTGTATGAGCCATGGCATCTCAGCAGCTCCGGATGAAATTCATCTGCAGGAAAACCTGCGCGTGGGTCGCTGCTTTTGCCCCTGTCTCGTGTGATGCCCCGAGGCTGGARGGGGTTGCACAGCCCTTTCCACCTCTCAAACATGGTCAATGTTCTACCCTGAGCCCCACTGGGTATCAGTAAACCTGGCTTTAGCCACCACATGCAGCCAGGGAACACCAGCCTAGAAGAAGCCAACTCAGATCTTCAGCTGCTGGAATCAGAGATGTCTCTGCAGGGAAGACTGGAAGCTCCTGGCATACCAAGGGCTGAGGACAGTGTGGTGGTACCTTCATCTGCTGATCTTCCCTTTATTTTTCCCCTCTTTTGTTAGCCAATCTCCTCCTACCAAAATCCTGCCAAAAAGTTAACCACTCCAAATACTGGGAACRGTCACTTGATATTTGCAGCTAACCACATCCTCCCAAATCTTTGTCRTTGCCTACTTGGATTTTGAGGTCTCGGAGACCAGTTCACCCCCTGCCTGATGAGGGCTTGGCTTCAGACAGAGTTCCCAGGCAGCCTTGAAAAACTGGACACAACTTGTCAAATTATGTGATTTGTCAAAACTAAAAATGTTTTCATGATGCCTGACTAATGAATATGCAGAGACCAAAAAGGGCTAATGAGACATAATCATTTTGGCCCTACAGAAACCGCATAAAGATTAATCATACAATGAAACAAGTATATATGACATCAGTCTTCACATAAGGCACATAGATCTTCCTGGTAGATAAGTCGAGTTAAGTTTGCATCCTATAGAAATTAATACATCAAAYTTCAGGAAGGTCTTTGATCTGGGCCACATGGAGCTAGATTAGAAAATGCACTACATGTATACAGTCTTTTCAAATTTCAGGGAAGTTATTCCTTGATCACAATAAAGACAGAAATCAAGGAGATTTCCTTAAGGAAAACGCCAAAGTTCAGGGCCTCTGACACAGCTGGGATGTGGTGAGCTCTGTTTTGCTCTTGAATTCACCTGTATCAACTCAAATTGGACATACAGACACCACAGCAGCTTCCAACACATATTCAGCCTGAATTTCATTAATATCTTACTGGGGCTGGGAATATTTTGCTCATGACCAGTGTTCAGATCTGCTCAGGCTTTGTCTGGAAGCTGAAAAACTCTCCAAATGGAGCCATCTTTTGTAACTTAATTGAAAACCTTAGTATTCTACAGTGGGTTTTTTTTTTTTTTAAATAAATTTAATATATAATCCTCTTAGACTATGGAATTCTATAACAGTGTTAAAACTAATCCAGCAGAAAGTATAAAGTACTTATTAAATTCTACAAGTATTTTCAGTAATTTCTGCATAGGACACTTAAATTTCCATAGCACCCTCCATTCTATTTCTACCAGTTTCCACATTTTTTTTCCAAAAATGATCAGTTTTTTTTTTTTTCCTTCTCAGTTAGAAATAAAGAAGCCTGCTTCTCATCTGAGGTCTGGTTGCACCAATACCAGCTTCTGCAAAACACAGCACCAGACTTGTAGCTGGTGAAATCCAACATAAATCCCCTGCACTGTCAAGCTCAGCCACCCAGCCTCCAGCACCTCCTGCACCAACTGCTCACCTCAGTGCACTCCAACTAGCTTATAAATCCACGTGGGACCTGTTTTTGGCTCACATGTGCCAGTTAGCCAACTTGAAAAACTATTGTTTTGAACTCTGGTTTATTTTAGTAGCTGTAAAATTAGCTGTGTTAGTTTATAACTCCTGGRATGGGCTGGGGATGTGTTACTGCCTCTTAATGGTTTCTTTCAGGGATGGATAGAGGAGCCAAGGACTGAGGTCACCAGTGCTCAGTAGCCTGAATCTGCAGAGCTTTTTCCATCCGCTGCAAGGGAACACTTCTGATGCACAGTCACAGCTGACCTTTGCTAGCAATGCTCTTCCCCAGATACACTCAGTATCCCAAAGGATGAACTTCCCACTCCCCAGGCACGGAAGCACCATGGTTTCCACTGCAGAACWCGCGCTGTGGAGCTGCTGCCGTGCAGAGGGGCCAGGCGCTGCACAGCCAGTCGCCAAAAAGGCTCCTGGGCGCAAAGACACTGCCTGAATTCCCTGCAGCACTAGGAAATCTCAGACAAAAAACCCAGAGGGAGCTGTTGGCACACATCACGCGGCCATCAAACAGGAATCCTGCTCGTGCATCAGCCAGCTTGCTGGCCAGCAGGAGTTCAGAAACTATTTAGCACATTAAGACTAGCAAATATATACCTACAGCATAATCGACATATAACTAACTATATATGGACTATATATGCGTATAGGATACTTATACATGTGGAAGTGGACCTAGGCACAACGCTTTGCAGAGCTGAAAATGGGCTGYAAGTTCGTAGAGCAACACCGTGTGCCTACGTGAATCACACGGACTCGTGTGCTGCTCTGCAYCTAGGAGCACTGGTAGGATTCGTTCCTCCCTTTCCTTACAGAAGAAAGATGCTGTTGTCATGTGTTGTGTCATGACAGGGACACCTTTGAAGAAATGCTGCTGATATCTTCAAAGTTGGGTCTGAGAGACACACAGATACTAGCCCTGAGTAAGCTAGTTGAGACGGAAAACAGGGAACTCGATGCTCTGGGCTAGTGCACTTTGCTTTTTAAATTATTGGGAAGAGGCTCGTTATCCCACGGCACCTGTGGTGTGTTGTATCCATCTCCATCTCAAAGGTCTCCCTTTAACCATGTCCTTACCATCCCACTTGCACTGCAATAGATTTTAAAACCCTCAAAGTGTTTTTCCTCTCAACATATAGTAGGAGTTGTGGAGAAAATGCAAGTGATAGATTGTTGTTTTCCTTCTTTTTATTTTCCCCCCTCCTCTTAATTTTACATTCTCCAGAAATATCTACTCCATGTTAGAAAGCTAAATCGARTAGCGGACAATCCAGCTCTACCCATTGGAAACCTTTCAACTGACTCAAGAGGAAGATTAAATCTCTAAAATGTAATAAAACAGACAAACAAAAGATATTCTGTAACCGAGGTGAGGTCCAAATTTCCTCCCTGTCAATGGGAAAATTCACTGGATTCTCTTCAAAAGTGTATTCTGCTGACCTAGTGCTGACCGAGTAAGTAACACACAGGATCAGCAGCCGAGCAGTTTTGGAAAGATTGCACAGTAGGAAAATAAAGGGCTAAATTGATAATCCCATCATGAAAATATAACTTAATTGGGAACTACATATGAAAGATCAAATCCAAAYTGTAGCAAACTCAACAAATCTGCCTCTGTTTGCTGCAGGTGCTGGCAGAGGAGGTGGATGCCTGCTGTTTTGACCATGTACAGGATGCAGTTGTGCCTAATTGTCCCAATCACATCATGCCGAGCGCTCACCATTCCTCAGAGGACACTATTTTTTACTGAAAGTTTAATCCCCGTAAGAGGATTCTCGGCCTATCCCCGGCAGAATCAGAAGTCAGGCTTTTCACGCTGCCCTTAGGAAAAGAAGGAATTTTGATAAGATTTGTGTGTGTGTCCTGCTCCGCGCAGGAGTTCCTTGCACAAGACACCCCAGCCTCACCTAACARCCGAGCAAAGCTTCAGTGAGGTGCCAAGCTTTACGGCCTTCCTTTCCACTTTTTCCCATTTCTTTTTCCTTTTGTTTTTCCTAGAGACCTCAGTCACCACTGTGTTTGTGGTATATTCATAAGAATTAAGCTTTTTGGGGYGGAACAACATTATGCTGCACTACAGTGACTCCAAGCCTCACACATSTCATCGCCAGGGGCCAACCCACCCATGAGGCCCCCTGGGTCTCCCAGAGTCCRGATGCGGACATCCACAAGATTGGTGGACCTTATGCACACCCACGCAACGCATTTTCATTGCGGTGAATTAAAACCACACTCATGTCAACCCGCCTGTGGCCTGGAAGGGGCAGGTCTGCAGAGCTTGGCTGTGAGTTTTACTGCTTTCTACGACGACCAGACTGCAAACATAGATGCTTATCTAAATCAAGCCCACAGGCGCGCACAGTAAATAAAGAGAGCCGTATTTAGCTCGCGCTCGTTGCTGCTGAGGAAGCTCAGCTGATTATCCACAGCAAGCAGAGCATGGGTGGCGTTACGGGACCAGGGACGCTGGCATCGCGCTGGTTTACGCCACCCAGCCACCTCCATGGCCATCTGGCCCCGCTGATGCAAAGCAGAGCTAATCAGCACCTCTGTTGTGAAACCCTCCAGCAGGAAAAAATGGGGAAGGARGGAAAGTGGTTGGATAGACCACGACACACCACAGCATCCTCTTTAGATGATGGAATGGCACTAACCTGTTGGATGCAGGATGAGTGGGAGCCCGCTGGAGTAGAAGAGCATCTCTGTGCCCACCTGCAAAGCTGGGACCCACTCTGCAGGGTTTTTCAGKAGAAACAACAGGTTTTTAGAGATGAGGCCTCACAGAAGGCGGCAGCAGCAGGAGATTTATACCCAGTGCAACAGTGCATCCTGTCCCAAGTGATTCTGTGTCTTCCCATCTCTGCTTTGACAGATGATCCGTCCATAAAGCGCTTTGCAAAGCTCCAGGCCATGCAATAGCACTGTGAGCACCAAGGAAGGTCAGATATAACAGAGCCGCTTTGGGTTTAGAAGCCACTTGTTAAGAAGAGCTGAGGGATCACTCAGCTCCATGCAGTGGAAGCAGTTCTTGCAAAGGAATTAAGGGGAGTAAAGCACCCGCTCCATAGCACAGTGCCCAGCTAGTCTGGTCTCCTTCAAACTATCTGTGAGCCTTCAGACAACTGGAACAAGCCTGGAGTAAATATTTTCTTTCTTTTCTTTCCAGGAGAAAAGTCCTTGCTCTTTTGTGCTCTGCTTATATAAGGCACCGTGGCCCTTGAGGAAAATGTGAGGAGCTCTCCACACGCTGGAGCCCCAGTCTAGCTCACTTAGCACATGTGTAATTAGTTAATGGGGTAATGTAAGCATGATTGGCTGCAGATGTCACAGGCTGGAGCCCTGAGTCGGCATCAGAATTCCTTTAAGGTTGCTAACAGAGCAAGCACATTGATTAATTAGCTTGCCAGCCATCTGACTTCCCGCTCTTGCAGCAGGATCTGTTGGGATATCGAGTCACTTGATGGTGAGGAGAAGGCAAACCATGCAGGATGCTACACATACCAAAAGGCAGCAGATTAGGGTGGTTTTTTTGTTTGACCAGCCAAATGAACGTTTCATGTCTGATCAAAAACTCTTGCTTGGAGGTCACAGTGGTTTAATTAAAAGCAGGGAAATCAAGCAAAGCAGCTGCTACCTTCTTGCCATGTTCTCGCAGCATCCATACGAGGRCTGGGCAAAGTAAACTGGACACGCTGCTGAGAAAGTGCATTTTTGAGTGAGTAGCACCRAAACTGGAGTAATGTTCAGCCTTCTTCTCTTGCTCATTTATGGGGGGAAGGCAGGGAAGAGCCTTCTGCTTTCCAAGTGCTGCTCTCGGCCTGRAGCCCCCGGCTGCTCCTGCAAAGCCGCCTTCACCAGAGGGCTCCTGGCTGCGGGGCCACCAGCAGCTTGTTTAAATAAAGACGTTTGCTAAGAGGAAGCTTATTAATTCTTGCTCGGTGTCAGCACAGGAACGATATGACGAAGGAGTTCAAACACTGGGGAAATACAGTCAACCTATAAACAGGAAGTTTAAAAAAACAGCCCAAATCCAAAGGCATGTCCTGCCCTTAATCAGCTGCTCCGGGCCGCTTTATTGCCCTCATTGGAGGCGATTTTAGTGGCTTGTCCCCAGTGGAGCCTCCAATTCTGGGTGGCAGGCGGCGGGGAAGGCGGCCGGGCAGGAGCAGCCTCTGTCCCAGCTCAGCATCTCTCGCTGACGCCACAGGGCCGTGCACGACTCGTGGCTCCAATGCAGKGAGTCCGGCACCTGCTTTTTGCCCAGGGGAAGTTTTCTTTGGCCTGGGGTGCTGTGGCAGTCTGAGATGTGACTGCTCATGCCCTCTGCTGGCTGCAGCTCGGTGGCTTTGAGAGATGTTCTGCAACAGCCATTTTTTTTCTTTTTTTTTCCCCTTTTTTATTATTTATTTATTTATTAATGCACTTAATCCAGCCTTTGCAAGGCTCTTGGTCTTGCAAAGAATTTGCTCCAAAGGGCAGATGCAAACAGGCTGAGGGCATTCCCAGCAAATCTCCTCTCTCCTTTATTTCTTCCAAAGCCCCACATTTGTGAATGCTGCACAAGAGCACTGTGCAAGAGGGGTGGCAGACGTGGGATGGGCGTCAGGACGGTCCCTGCAGCATCGCAGGGCGCTCCAGTCCAGCGCAAGGGCTGGCACGCGGCCCTGCACCGCCCAGCGCGGTTGGTTCCTGATGACTTAAGCGTTGGGAGAGTTCGCTCCGTTTCTGYCTCTTCCCTTTCGGCACAGGAATTGTTACTCACCGTGCACACAATGCCACGCTCAGCTTATTGTGCGACAGGGAATGACACGGAGCGGCCGGGCATGGGAATGCAACTGATTGGAACTCTTGATTTCCTATATGACTTCAAATTAAAACAATCCCAGATATTAAGATTTTGGCACCGGGACCGGCTTGGAGGATAATTATGGGCTGTGATTTAATTTTCGGGATCTGCGGCGAGTGCCAAGTCTCCACAGTTTTCCTGCCTCCCTCGAGAGCACTCGGAGCTGCAGGTTCCTTTTAACTCCTTCGTCCCCTAGCTGGTCCTCAGGGTCTTGCACCTTCCTCTGAGTTTCTTGGCAAAACCTCCGTACCAAACTGGAAGAAGTCGTGCTCTTCTCCTAGAGCCCTTATCCTCAAGCATCCAGGGAGCCTTTTTCTCACTGCCATCCCCCAAATCCCCACTGGGTGCAGCAAGGCCTCTTGCTCGCAGTGCTCACGGCAACTAATTCATCCCTTTCCAAGCCTCCTTCAGCTAAAATTGTCCTGGATATTATCACTGCTGTGTGTTTCACTCCTTCAGRCAGAAAATCTGATTATTCGGTGATGCTGTTACACTTTCTGTGACTAATTTCAGGCTTTGCGCTTGTGGGCAGCAGCACCTGCAGAGACAACCAAGGGCCGAGGTGGGGAGGAGAAAGGCTCTCAGGTCACTCAGAGCTAGTTCTGATGGCTTTGAGCAGCAGGGGCTGCTCCAGAAGGGAAAGGAGACCAAGATGAAGCTCTGTTGGCCATCTCCATCTTTGCAGCGTGCTTTGGGACACCACGATACCGGTGCCTGCTTTGCAGCAGCACCGCAGCAGCGCTGGCCGGCGCGGGACGAGTCTGCTCGGGTAGATTATTCTCATTTCTGGATAAAGCAAACCATCCCCTTTGGGCTCCCTTTTAGGAAAAAGAGAAGAAAAAAATCCACCAAAACCTAAAGGCATGTTAAAATAAACAGCACACACCGAAAATCTGTTTTCCCTTGTTTTGCTTAGTAGGAAGTTAGCGGCCTCGGTGGGACTTTGATGTGGGGATACACATTTGATGTCAGCATTAATGACAGGCAGGCCTCAAAGGGCTCCGAGCGAGGGTTCGAGTTCGCACAAACACTCCCACGTTCACATACTTATCCGAAAGGGCATCCAAGCGCCTGGAATGGCCTGAGTCGGCAAAACCCGGATCTCAGGATCGTGCAAGAACAGGCTCCTGCGGGCCACCTGCTCCGAGCCGCAGCCAGCACAGCCGGTGCACAGTTATTATTTATCCGCTTTGGTTCCTGTGCTGGCCGGAGATGAAAACACAAGGTGTAGATGTGCCGGGAGAGGCTTTTGGGACAACACAAGGTGTAGATGTGCCGGGAGAGGCTTGCAAGAGTTTGATGTGAGCTTTGTGAAAACACAGGTAAGTGTAAAACGCCCAGGAGCAAAACTCTTGAACATGAAACTAGACATTTCCATGAAAAAACTAGGGGTTTAAGACCTCTGGTTTATGGAGCAGCGTGTTGGCCACCCCTAGGAAATACCCCACAGTTACCTACTGTGCCTGGGTGGTACAAACCTCCCTTAAAATGAAGCCTCAGGGCCGGTTTTAGCAGAGCTGGCCTGGAGCTCCCGAAGCTCTCAGCCCTGGGACTTTGGAAATAACATCCACTTGCAGCAAGTCGCTGCTTGACCACAGAGACGGGTTCTGTTGACACCAGGTGGTTCTCATATAACTCAATAGTTTAGTTCTGAAATCAGAACATGGCCAATTGTGAATAAATTAAATTGCCTCAGCCCTCACTCTCTCACCAATTACAGTGAATTATGGACAACTCTTAAATAAGAGAATCTCCCTTCTTGGTGCTACAAGATATATTAGCTTTGTGGTCAGCTCTATATTATTTGACTGATTTATAGATCTATAACTTATGGAATTAGAGGTGATCTTTTTCTTAGGGATTTAGCTCAAAATGATTTTTTTCTTTGAAAATCATGTGGAAAAATGAAGATGATAGATATTCCCATTATATGTTTTCAGACATCTAATAAGAATCTCACTCGAAGCTTTCTACTCCATATCCTTCCCCTGCATAAAGTCTAAAACATGCCATCCCAAACCCACACTCTATCGATGCTCAAATAAACTTTTCATTTTCTAAAATATCGATCAGCCAATTCCTCTGCAGACAGCCTGGAGAAAAACAAGGAACCTTTTAGAAAAACTTATGCAAATGGTGAATTATTTTCCATTGATTGCCAAAATCAGATTTTACACSAAGACTAGGGTATTATTATGTTATCAGCAGAAATCATGCTGCAGGAACTGCTGCCATGCTGTTTCTAAAACATCTTTCTTGTAAAAGAAGGAGCAAATTCTGATTTTGGGTGCAGAAAAGAGCCACCRTATTAACCCCTTTTTAGAACCGAACTCACACAATTCTTAAAGCTAGTGCTGCAGAAAATKTGGAGGTATTTTAACACTATTCTTGTGTTACAGCATTGCCATCTCTAACCAGAAGTGGAAATGTTAAGGGCAAAATGCCTGTTGAAGGCGCGGACTTTCCCATCAATTCTATGGAAATTATTGACACCTCTATGGGTGAGTTGAGCTTGAAGGACTGTTTTAGCAGGAGAGAGATGCCAACTCTTCCACGCTTATCTGAGCTGAAGGCAGACTCTCAGATTTCTCCAGAACTAATCCGTACTTGGAATTGTTGACAAGATTAAAAAAAGAAAAGCAGTTATGTATTTTAGAAGTTATTCTGGGATTTAAAAAAATCTGTGAGATTTTGTGATTTTGAAAAATGTTCTCTTTAAAGAAAACAGGTTCTTTGGCTTCCTGTCCTGAAGGCTGCTAATCTAGTGGAGAAGATGTCTATGGGGAATTCTGCTGCTGTTGGGCTGCAGTTCAATTAGATTTGAAGTTATTTTTTTCTGGTGATC